TTACGAGAGGATCAGATCTTTCTTTTTGTTTGTTCAAACTGTGCACACTTATAATAATCCATTAGAATTTTACTTTACATTGTACCTTTTTATGAATATGAATGTACATCGTATGGTTTACGAATCGGGTGTTAACACGTGGTTAATTTTTATTTCACATATTTTATTTCGTTACTCATAATGCTACCGAAGAAAAAGAAATAAGTGAGTATAAGAAGTGTGCAAAGTTTGAAAAAAAATAATGGTCCTGCTATTGTATCAGAAAGATTTCAATGTTAGAATTGCTGATTGTCTCGAATTAACTAAACGTTTTTAAGGAAAGTATATTGAACAAATTTTATTCTACATTAAAATTAGTAATTTTCGAAAATAACAAAGTTATATGCGAATTTATGAAAGATTGAAGTGATATTCGGTCTTTAAAATTTGTTTTTCTTTTTACATAAAATACTCGTAGTTATCCATTCTTATCTCTTCCTGTACTTAAAAAAAAAAACCAATATTTCGTTTGTCATGTTGTTCTATCTGATCTAATCTATAAATCAAATTTCAATTTTATATTTAAACCACTCGTCTCTTATAAATTCATATAAATATTGTCTAGATGAAATATATAATTTTGCGTTATTTCATATTTTAAATGGGTCAGTATAGTTATTTTTAGGTTTAGCTAGTCATTTCTCAAATTAACAAATTTAACGAAGTAATTACTAAAAAACTATATACATATATATATATATATATATATATATGTATGTATGTGTGTGGTAATTACGCGATTATGAAAGTAGCCTAAGTCGTATACGTTTGGTTTTCGAGATATTCAAAAAGTTTAACACACATTTGAATATATAAAATAACATTTTTATATTAAAACTATAAAACATTTAAAAAAAAAAAAAGATTTCCATTTTAATAAATGAACGAAATATCGGATGATCGTAATATATCAATGTACAATATTTTCTTTGATTAATTTATAAAGGAAAAAAAGGAAAAAAAAGCAAAAAAAACTGGCGATGACGTAAAACTGCATAACCGAAATCGTATCGCGTTCAGAGACCTCACCTTTATGCATTTTGCATTCTCAATAGAGACCGCACCTCTTTCGGCTAGCTAACTAAAATATGTGAAATGTGCGAACACGTGAGTTCCTCACGTAAGGGAACGCATGGATCACTCAACGATACGATGATCGTGAAATACGCGAGTCGCGTCCGGATGCGGAGCCAACGAGAAATGAAACGGTACGACGTATATACTTACATACACACATGTCATACTAACGGAGGCCAACCTTCATTGGGTACCTTTACAGATAAATATAATCGTATGATTTTTTTTCTTTTCTTTTTTTTTTCTTTTTTTTTTTTTTTTCTCTTTTTTTCAACACTATCGATCGTCGTTCGAATGTATTGTTTTTTTCAATAGATATCAATAAAATTATTATTTCGATCGCAATCATTCATCATGAGGGGATTTCATTTTATTTATCGAACGAATATATCTCTTATATAATGTTAGAAGTTTGTATAGTAATTAGTAATATTAACATAGTCTTATTTGAAATTCGAAATTTGTAATGTTTAGAAATTTAATTGTTGTTTTTTTCTTAATTAATTTATTACAATATATATATATATTATAATAAGTTCGTGTTAAGTTCGAATGACGGCTTATTTAATATCTCTTGAAATATTATTAAAGCAATTTCAATCTGTTAAAGTTGTTATAAAATATATATATATTAATAAATTAATATTATATTTTACAATATTATTACCGTGCGCTAAAAGTTTGAATGACGGCTTATTTAATATCTCTTGAAATATTATTAAAGCAATTTCAATCTGTTAAACGAATAAATCTCGTTTATATGTATACCTCGACTTGTAATAAATTAATATTCAGACGTGCGATTACTATAGTACATACTTCCTACATTTTCTTTATATGGAGGTATGGTATTTATCTATTGATATTTATTTATCCGTTAATTAATTGTTTGTAGAAAACGATTGATTGAAAATTTCTGCAATTACATTTAACCCTATTATTACAGGTGTTAATATCAATTTATCTTAACATATTTTCTATAAAATCTCTTATATAAAAATAAGAAGAAAAAAATAAAAACAAAAAAAGTGTGTTCTCTCACTTGGAAAACTGGTACGTGCTCGTTAATTCGTAGTATTCGTAATAAGATAGTCAGTTTGCACGCGAGTGCGCAAGGTTAAGGGGGTTCAAAAATGATTATCAACTGGTCTTCATTCGATGTGGGCGAAGTTAACATTCTTTCGTCCTAAACGAAACCACGAACAACGGTGAGTAACACTTTGCACTAATTACGAGGATACTTACACGCGATGTTTTAAAACGAACTTTGTTTTTTTTTTTTTATTTCTTTTTTACTTATCCTACTTGTTCTCTCTTTTTTTCTTATTTTCCAATGACTTTCATATTTATTATTTATCAATACGAAATTTAAATAATCATTTCTCTCTCTCTCTCTCTCTCTCTCTCTCTCTATCTGTTATAATTTTTCGATCAAATAAAATTGTTATTTCATATTCGATTATATTTCTTTTTTTTTTTTTTTTAAATCGATATTATAACGTGTACGCGATAAACGAACGATCGATGATTACTTCCAATTGGAATTGGTTCGTCTCGCGAACATCCGCCCACGCCAAAAATAATTCTTTATTAACGATGTTTGACCAAAATTAGTATGAAGACGTCAGATCGTTTTCATGTCGTTAGTTTTTTTTAATCGAGTAATCTTAAGTTTAAGGATACTCATTAACATATACATTACATATCAATATACTATATATATATAAAAATATCTAATAAATATAGATATATATATATATAATTCGATCATTTATTAACGAAGGTCTCGCGTGTTAAAGAGTAATGTATTTACGTCGCGTAAGTTTTTTAAACAACCTTCCTCGAGCAACGACACGAGAATGTATGTGAAAGAACGAGATAAAAGATGGTGGTGAATGGTTGAGAAAGGTTGTGAAGAATCGAACGTTCTCGAAGAAAATCTACTAACGGATTCACGTTTTTATCGTTGAATAATTAATAATCATTTTTTTTTTCTGTTTTTTTCTTTTTTTTTTTATGAAGCAGCAGCAGCAGGAGCAGAAGTGTAGAGAAAAAAAAAATAAGATGTATAATAAGTAATAAATAAAAACAAATACGTATGCGCATATTATATCTATCATCGAGTAACCACCACCCACGAATAATCTTTGGCTTAATGACGATTTATCGATATCGTGACGTCATCTTTGAGATATCGTTCTTTCTTCGACACATCGAACCATTTATTTTAAATATTTCTTTATATATTTTTATATATATATATAGAATTTTTTTTTTATCTATTTTTTTTTATCAATTTATATATCTATGCACATATGTATGTACTTATCTATATATGTATAGATGAACAAGTACGCGTATACTTATGAAATTTCTCCACGTAAACAAGTATTATAATTTATTCGAGCAATATTCTTTTCAACATTCGTTCGCCTTTTTTTTTTACGTAATTTTTTTTAACAAATTATTATCAATAACAATCTATTTATGTATCAACGTATATATCTATGCACATATATATATATATATATATATATGTATGTACTATATGTATCGATGTTTGTATCTACACGCACGCACATAATGTATGTATGCACTTATCTATATATACGTACAAAAAGACAAGTACACGTATATACTTAAGAAATCTTCATTTAAGTGGTGTATAATTTATTTCAACATTTTTCGACTTCCTTTTATAAATATTCAAACAACATTTGCATCTCTTATACGTCATTGTTAATGATCATTATCAATGACAAACTTCAATTTGAAAAATAGACTAATAATCGATATGTAATTTTCTTATACTATTAGATAAATAAAACAAAATGAAAAAAGTAGAGGATTAAATGACTCAGGAAGTCCGAACATGATCGACGATCCGTATCGATCCAATCTTTCGATAATTTCTAACTGGACAAATAAAAAGAAAAGAAAAAAATGAATTATTTTGTCGAGGTTACGTAGGAGATTATCTCGCCGTCCTCTCAATTCTAGATTATTCGTCAAATAATCAAATTTGTCGCTAAGTAACGATTTCGATTTGAATCTATATCAAAATAAAATAATCAGATGCAAAGTATTATTGTTAAATACTCGGGTACACTTTTTCGAATAGAAAAAAAAAAAAGTTAAAAAACAAAGTTTAACTTACAAAATATGGCTTATTACAAATTTCATATTATCCAATCCAATGCAATATATCATAGAATCAATTTTTGTTTCCACATTTTGTGTTAATTTTATTCACTGTCATAACTACGGACACCACAATTATGCTTATAATTCGCGAATAACGTTGATCCGTTATTTAATTAAATCAAAAAAAAAAAAAGAAAAGAAAAAAAGAAAGAGATGATTAAAAAACAAGCGGAACGTAGTAACACTCTTTATAACAAAGAAAATAATTTGAAGAATTTTTCAAATATAAAACCGCGTACAAATGGAAAAGAGACAAATGGAATTCGAACGGATGTCACGAATCCAGCGATGTATTTCAATTGCGATTGACGCGCATAAATTGATATTAATTAACGTCAGTAACCCTTTTAATGACGATACTCATTTATTGTTCTCTTAATTATCATTTTCTCGTTAAAATAAGTAACATTAAAAAAGGATTAATATGATACAATAGAAAAATAATAATAATAATAAGAAGAAGAAGAAGAAGTTTGGCATTTATTGGTTTGGTGAATGACGACGAGGTGGCGGGGTGATGGAAGGGGTGATAGAAGGGGTGATGGTAGGGGTGGGGGTAGAGAAAGAACGGTAGAAGATACTTTCACGAGACGACGAATCTAAGTGTACTACGCATGCGCGGCCAGCTTTCGCGGGCCCGGACGAAGCTTAGTACGGAATCTTACAATCAGTTTCAATTGCGAACTCCGTGAGAGTAGAAGGATTGTTATTAATTGTCGTTTATTATTACCCTAAATAAGTGTATTTTCATCGATGTTGCTTTTTTTCTATTTCTCGATCCGTCTTTTATTATAATTCATAATGAATTACGAAAAAGAAAAAATGCGCAAGATCGAATTGGTTAACTAGACAAAATAAAAAAAAAAAGAGAACAGATAAGAAGGGACAACAACAACAACAAAAATAGTATACTAACTTTTAGTAATAAATGATCGATAATCTGTGTTGTCAGTGCAATGTGCGTGACACGTATGAATCGAATCTAATCGAATATTGTTGGAAAATTTGTCTATTATTCTTTCGTTATTTCTTTTATTTCTGATAGAGATTGTGAATCATTTAATTACAAATAACAAATTGGTCGGGTCGCGTTTCTTATCATAGTCCAAATTTCATTTCAATATTTATCTTTTTCTCCCTATTGTTATTTTCTATCAAAATTCTTGAATCATTTTGATAGACTTTCAACTTTCCACTGTATACTAATAATCGACAGGAAATTCGATAAAAATATTTGAATAATACGTCGTCGTCGTCGTCATCTTATTGGTCGAGGTTCCTCCTCGTCTTTTGTTATTTTTTTTATATGTGCGCGCATTCTCTGCGCGCACGCGCGCGCATTCGAGCATCGAAAGGTACAAATTCGTCGTTTTCGTTGTCGTTGTCATTTTTGTGTTGTCGTCGAAGTGAGAACAAGAAAAATAAGAAACCGGAAAAGTTTCGCGGTTGTTTTTGAAGATACGGTAATTAACGAACAATAATAAGAAAAAAAAAAGGGCCGAAGATATGCTGGAATTTTTCGTTCAACATGCCGAAGTTGGTGGGTAAATAAGAAATATTTTTTCTTCTTTTTGTTAATTTCATTTATTTTTTCTTCCCTAATATCAATAACAATAACCCTCATTTTTTGTCACACCTTTGGTACATGAAGGGACAATAATAGAATATTGAAAAAATATAATCATCATGATATAATGAAATTAAATAATAATCATAATTTTTTCGAGATGTCCAATAACAAATTACAAATTGTAAACATGTTGTGAATGTTGTATAGGTATCTACGTATTATCGTGTATTTATTATGTGTCAAGTTTTCTTGCATGCACGCGGTGAATGCGTTTGTGCAGAAGTATTTTTTCTTTCCTTTTTTTTTTTTCATTTTTGTTAGGTTACCATCTACGAAATATGACAAAATTTCAACAGCATTTTCTAACGTAATTTCTAACAAAATAACGACCTTATCATATTGTTTTTTTTTCTTTCTTGTATTAAGATAAAGTAGTTGTCGGCGCCAACGACGATTGTAACATTCGTCGTTGATTTTATTTCAATACTGACTAATTATTTATGTTTGCTTATATTGTTTTCGTTAAAACGAAACATATACATATATATATATACACGTAAATAAGAATACCGATCGATTTATAACGTATGCGCAAACGATGAGAAAGAGAAAGTTTATCGTGTCCGAAGATTTTTAATCGAGCAACGATAAGCAACAAGAGAAGCCGAGTTCTTGAAACGTATCAGAGAAAATAAATAGTCTTACATTCCATGCTTTTCTCCCTTCGTAATACAATAATCAATTAAAACAATTTTCGGAATGTTCTTTTTTTTTTGGTTTTTTTCTTTTTTTTGCATTAATTATAATATATCATCGATATTTTACAATTAATATAATACATCTATTAGTAATGCGTTTTATTGTGTGATATATGTAATATTTACACGAGTCTCTTTTAAAAAGATTATTAATCAACCGACTTATTCCATTAAGGTAATTGATTTGACATTTGAAAACATTAATAAGCGAGTAATTAATTAATTATCTATATATATCATGTCAATCCTATTTTTCCGATGTTTAATAATAATAATAATATTTCATTTTTTAATCCTAAGTGAATAAATAAATGATTTTTAATTAAAAATTTCTATTGAAATATAATAATTTTTAGTTAATATAGGATGTAGAAGTAAAATACACACACACACGATATGAGAGTTCAACAAATAAGTTAGAAGAATTTGGAAATTTTTGAATCGTGCTGATACAGTTGATAGCCGATTCGTGTCGTAATTGCAATTAGTCGTTAAAAACGCGTTTTTAACGTCCATCGATCGTAGATAAGAAATATAATCGGATAAATGGTAGTGAGATTGTCGACGAGCAAACACGAAAATAGTCAAATCGATATAAATTATATAGGTTAACGATTTTATTCTATCTTTTATAATCTTATATATACGTTTTTTCTTTTTTTTTTCTTTTTGCTTCTTGCTCTCTCGAAAAATTCTACATGAACGTACTATAAGAATGTACTATGTACACACACGTATACATGTATGTGTATATATATATATATATATATATCTTTATATATGTGTAAGTACACATGGAGGAATGTGTCCTAGCTAAAGTAATTTGACGTAATTCACTAGATTATGTGCGGACCAATCGATTAGGTATGTTCTTATCTTGTTATCTATCTCGTTAGCGATATATAAGAGAAAGAAATATGTAGAAAGATTTTTTTCACGATTAGAAATCTTCTATGCGAGGAAAAGAAAAAAGAACTAGGTGTATCGCAATACCATTTTATGTTATAATTTGTTTGTCTTTTTATTTCTTTTTTTTTTTTTTACACGAAAGTTTACAAAAAATTCTTTCGATATTATTCGATATGATATTTTTTAACGATAAGCAGCAATTTTTGCTTTTTTTTTTTTTTTTTTTTTTTTTAACTTGCAACAGAACACCTGGTGTGTTTTGCGAGTACGATTAAAGCGTTTTACCAAGAATTTCTTTTCTTTTTTTTTTTCATTTTATTATACGAACTATTATTTTTTATTATTCTATCTTACGTGAAAGCGTTATCGTGATTGGTTTTTCTTTTCTGTTCGATTATTCAACGCTTGTTCGGAAAATCAAAAAGAAAAAAAAAATATATAAATATATAAAATATAATTAAATCTAACGTAAAACACACACACATTATCTCCTTAAGCATTGCTTTAATACTCAACTATCTTTACAACTAGTTACAACAAATAATGATAAAGAGAAACTTTGATAAATAAATAATATCTAAATTATTTAATCTTTAAAATCATTCTTCTTGTGTGTGCGTGTTTCTTCGTCAAAATTCCTTTTTTTTTTTTTTTCTTTCGTAAGAATTTTTATACAATACGCACAGACACACACACACATATATATATGTTATATTACATATGTATACACGCGTATACACATACGAATGTACTTATCTTTTCTACGTACTTATAAATAGGTACTTATGGATTATGGACAGTTATGGTTGGCTGATTGGCCGGTTCTCTGAGTAACTAACGTGCTAACACGCAACGTCACTCTTAACGATGTCTCTGACACAATGTGTCAATATTTTCGAATAATTCTTTTTTTTTTTTTTTCTTTTTACCAAATTCGGCCTTCGTATTTCTAATTTCGCGTTTCGTATAATGATAATCATCTCATCAATATTTTTGAATACTTCTTATGTATTAGCAGAACGTCTTCCATCTCTGCCAGGTAAAGCCTCTCCTCCCTCTCCCCTCCCCACACAAAAAGAAGTCAAGAGTAAAGATAATGGACCGTAGTTAAAAAGAAATAATTAATATTTCATCGTTATTCATATCATATAAAAAATATATATATATATCATATATAAAATCCATTATTAGTTATTTATTTAAATATATAATTATATGTAACGCAAAATAATATTTTTTAAGACTTATTTCGAGGTAGAACGTGTTTCCCATTTTTCCTAAAAATAAAAAAAATAAATAAGAAAGAAATATCAAAGAACAATGAACTCTAATCTAAATGAGAATATTAATATAATATTATATTTGTATTAAAATTCTTATAATTAGATTATTATATATGTATAAAAAACGTTCGATTATTCCGATCATTTTCAATTCGATATCTGGCATTTGATGTTTAAATACCTGATGATATATAAGAAAAAAAAAATCAGAAAAAAAAGCAATTATAATACTTGCATGCTTATAATACTTTTTTTTTTATATATATATACATTTCTACACATATTTTCTATCGTTTCATTTCAATGTTAATAATATACTGCATCGTGCTGCATATGTGTATTCATTTTATTGAGCGTATTCGCGATAATGGAAAGAATAAAAAGATTTTCTGCAATTTCAAAATACCGGTGTAAATGAGAAAAGATAGAAAGAGAGAGTGAGAGATACTACGTACGAGGAATGAAATTTTATGCGTTTTAACGCATTGCAATAAGCAAGCGGTAGGTAGATTTGTTTGAATTCTGTCTATGCGATTAAATACTCATGAGATCTTTTTTATTACTCATCAATGAGATCTTTCTCTATATTTCATCCTCATATTATAAAACGCATATAAAATAAGTATATGATATGTGTGTTATTAAAAATCTAACAACTTTGTACACCTGTGCACACAACGAACAGATTAGTATTTTATTTTATTTATTTATTTTTTTTTTTTTTTTTGTTTATCTAGCAACAATAAATCAAATTTTGATCAATCTTACTTGAATTTTGTTATTAAATGGTATATATTTATTTTTCATAATTTAAAATATTTATTATATCGAATATATTGGGTAATTTAAAAGTGAGAAATCTTTAAAAAAAAAAAAAAGAAAAAAAACTAAGCAATAAATTTGAAAAAATTGAATTCATTAAAATATCTCATTATATATTCTAATTATATTTCGTAAAATTATCTTATATTATTAGTAAATAGGTTTAAAATTGTGTTAAACTTGTCTTGGGATCTATTAAATTGGTGTTATATCTTCATATATCGTAAAACTACGACAATTTGATACGATTTTGAAGATAAAATAATTAATTGTGGATAAAGAGATATGATGATTTTTATGATACTTAAAGAGGATTTACAAGGTACATCTACATATGTGCTAACAAATATTTGATTTTTATTCAAAACACTTGAGCAAATACGTTGGAAACCTATTCAAGATTCTTTTATTTTTTATTTTTTATTATCGTTGAAGCAATACATCATTTGTGTTTGTAAAATTAGAATTAGCGATATGTTATTTGTGTCCTTATCATATACAATCAATCAAATTACTTGAAAAATATATATATTTTTGTTTTTATTTGTATGATAATTGTAAGATATATTTTACGTATTTTTTTTTTATATTTATTATTATTAATTCATATAAATATACTATTACAGAGAATAGATAATAGATCAAAATCTAAAACAATTATACAATATATAGAACAATTATTGATATAATATAACAATAATATACAAAAACAGAGTATAACATTACGATAATATTAATTAACGAAATATAAGCTATAATGCTAAAATAAATATATATTTATCTATACCAACACAATTCCAAAATTCTTTGCACAATCTGCAAAACAAAAAGAATATTAATTTTTAAATAAACGCGTGGCCACAAAGATTTGATTTGTTTTGTTTTGTGTTATATTTACCAATTATCAATTTTATCATCTAATCGTTCGTAGGCAATTTTTATTTCATTTATTTTTTTTTTTAATAACGAATAACGTTGGAAGTGCTTCGAGGACGTTCGAGAGAATAAAAGGTCGGTGTAATAGAGTTGACTACGTGCAATAAAGTCATCGCTATCATTCAATTGAACAATCCGGTCTTTCCGAGGTACAAGAGCAGTGGGACGCTCTCGGAAAATATGGAGAGACTAAAGAAGAATCACGCCGACTGACTAGCTGACTGACTGACTGACTGACTGACTCACTTTTCTTCTTTCTCTTTTACCTTTGATTCCCAACACCTCTCTTTGCAAGAATCTTGCGGACAAACTTCACCGAGAAGAGAGCCTTCTCCGACCCACTTATTTTCTCCCTCCCCATAGATTTAACCCGAATCATTTTTCGCACCAATTAGTTAGAAATTCTCTACAACTTACCACCCCGCCAATTTCAATGGAATATCAATTAATGATAATAATAATTTTATCAAATATAATTCATTCGTTTTTCATACTTTTTTTCGTAACACTTATCGTAAAAAAAGATCAAAGTCATTTGTCTTTCGTGTGGTTTTTTTTTATTTTTTTTTTTTTTATTGGAAAATAATTCTAAATTTTATATTTTATATTGATTGTATTA